CCTACAATTGATTTAAACCACCTTTTGCGTGCATATTCTGTGTAAAGTCTGTTTTCTTCACATTTCAGACATTTTTTACTTTCAATATCAAATTTAAACAATTGATTAGCAAATAATAATATCTAGTTATATTTGTTACAGAGCGAATTTCAAGGTATTTTAAAAAGAAAAGCATATTGTTTGTTATTATTTAGACTGTATGTTTCATTGAAGATGATGTTGAACAACCATACAAGTGAAATGACAAAGAGACATAAAATAATTTCCTTGTGTATTTTTCAAATCCTAAGCTAACTGGAATAATATCAATAAGATTGGAATTTTCAATAGCTCCTGAAATTAGCAGGGTGTATTTTAACAGATAGACATATATTATTTAATTGTACGTCATATCCGTAAAAGTTGGGAAAATTGTTTTATTACTGATTTTATTGCCCATGAGCAATATACTTGTTAAATAAAAACAATGCAATATGACTGTAACCAACCAATTTTAAAAAAGAATTTCAATCAAGAACTACTGCTTCTTAAAGGGCAGAGTTCAATGATGGAGATAGTAGTACTATCTAGGATTCACATTTCGTTCCGTTTCAGACTCATCGCGTGGTTGTACCTGTATCCCCAAGTTGAAATTACTAGTTCTTTAGGGTTGGTTACTTTTTTTCTGACTTCATATAACTTTACTGGAAATAATCAGCAATAATCAACATCAGTTCATCAGTTAAAATATTGACATTTCTTTTGCTTCAAGGTTAAGGATTTATTTTGATGACGTTCAAGTTGCTGAATTGTCTGTAATTTTATGACGTCAGTTAAACAATATTTTTATGATAACCATCAATCGATTCATTGTCAAAACTCAAATAAGTTACAGACTACTGAATTGTTCATACTAATCCAAATTTGTTTGGTCATTTACTTTGAAATTATTCTACAATTGTATACATTTCAACACATAGAGAATTTACATTCTTTAATTTAAAAAAAAACAAAACAAATTTTGACTAAAAATACAGAGATATTCAGTGGAAAAATTTATTCCTTTTTATGAAATTATTTATTTAAGCTGAACATTTGTATTCATAGTTGTTTTATTAATGTATGAGTTCATGAAAGAGTGGTTTACTTTCAAAAATATTTATCAAATTCATGTGTCTGATTTTAATAAAAGTATCAAATTATATTCAAATATTATTGTTTTTATGTTTTATTGTGAATTGGACAATGTTTATTTTTAAATATTTTAGAGAAACAAAAAAATATATATATTTAAGTAGTTACTAAATTATTGAATTATAATTTTCTTTGATTTCATTTGACCTATATAATTCATGTAACAAACAATCGACTGAGATAATTCGATTATTAGTTTTAATTTTTTTGTTTTAAATTCTAAAGGATGATTCTAATTATCGCACAAACCGAAATTTCCCAAGTTGTATTCATTATGAAGTTGTCGATTTGCACTTGAGACTATTCTACAACTAAGACGGATATTCACTTTGATTCCCTCTGACACTAACCTACTCATTCATGAGATCGATGAGTTTTGAGTTCAATCACTGACTAAATCAATATGATTAGATTGGTTTTTTTTAAAATTTATCCGGTAAAATCGAAACAACTTGTCGTAGATGTAGAAGAAAAATTAAGCTTAGTGTCTATTAGTTTTTTTCTAGCAACAATTAAATGAATAGATCAGAAACCAACGGCTATTTATCTAGTTGAAATGAATACATCTTGTTTAAAATAGCAAACAAACAAGCAGCAAAAATTGAACATTCATTTCTGTTTAAATTTTATCAGGTTGACAGGCAATCGCTCAGTTAGGATGGAATAAAAACGCGAGATCACACTTTTTAAATCTATGATTTTGTTCAACATAACTTCCGTCTTTTTCTCAGTATGATGGTTGCTAAACGAAATATCTGTTCTAGTTTCAGTAAAGCCTTTTACAAAACATTGATTTTTTCGAAGTGCGATTTCTATTCAAGATATTTTACTTTGCATTGACTTAGTGGTGACTGTTTAATGCGTTAATTATCATAAATGTTTGTAGTTATTCTTTAAATTTCCTTTGTAGGTTGATATTTATTAGATAATTAACAAGTATGCATAAAATCTTGATATAAACTACTGTATTTAAGTGATAAAGTTGATGTATTTTGGAGGATGAATTTAAAGTTGTGGAATTTCGCAATGGTTTCCAATTTTAAGTATTATAGTATAAGAAAAACATCTTTTAAAAATACTTGAAATTTGAAGTTATAAATCATAACATTATTTAGACAGACGACAAAAACTTTCGTTTAAACTATTTTCCCCCAAGAACCAGACATCGTCAAATATACCGTCGTGGTCATTATTTGCAACAGCGAAGGAAATCCCCAAAAATGAATGTCAAAGTGGTAAATATCAGACTAGTTTTATTTTATAGATGAACCACTTATCACTTAATTATCTGTAATATATGTTAGGAATTCATCTTCAGGAAACCATTCAAAATGTTTAAAATGATAAGTAATAATATCAAAATTATGTTAAACAACAAGTAGCCTATTTCTTTTTTGTTTTGTTTTGCAATGCTTCACCTAAATATCGAAAAACTCGTACTCGTAAAATGAATTTTTAAATGATTACATTTAATGAATAACTAACTGGTTAAGACCGACTTTAAACCAGTGCCCAAATATCATTACCGTTCAGTATGGAAGCATCTTAATTTGAAGGTTAAATAGAATGGCAAGATATTCAAATGAGTCGGCTGTAGATTAATAAACTTTAACAGAAAATCATTGCCAGGTGAGTTTACCATGAAATCAGAAAAAGTGAAACAGATAATCTCTAAGGGCATTGAGCACTTATCGAAGCTGTACTGAAGATAAACTCTAGATTCTGTTTGTCGGATAACAGAAGTTTTCTTACTGATTGCGGATATTAATCAGTTTGATCCATTTGACCAATGTCTTTTACAACCTTTATCATCACGAAATATGTAGATAAATGTTTTCGTAGAAATCAAATGATTTTCGATAGAACTAAACTATTCTGATGTCTTTAAGGCATTCGAAGGGAGATTGTGAGATTAACCAATCAGTTACTAATCCTCCAGAATGTAACATGAGTAAACTACTACAAAATTCGTAAAGAATTTGCTTGTGAAAGGCTGGCATCTTAACTCCATGATCCTGAACTTAACTTTTGTAACTCGAATACATCTAACTGCAATAATACTTCTGAGAATTCTTATCTCTGAGCTCTATGCTATTTCTGAGGGTCTCTTCCTTATCACAACTACATAAGATGCTTTTTCTGACCAGTCAGACACTACCGACAAACTTTGATCACATCACCAAACGAATTAACTGAAGTGTAAGATTTCTTCGGGAACATGATAATCTCTAGTTGTCTATCCACAACTCTGTCTTGAACATCGTCCACTAATTCTACAAATGCTATCTTCATTTTCATTGTCTGATTCAAATCACTTCAAGCCAGTTAGCATAGTTC